CCACCGACATTTGGAGCTGGAATCTTTGGTACTCCTCAGACGCCCACGGCGCCAGGAGGAACCAGTGCTCCCGCTGCACCAACGGCACCGGGGTACAAAAGGGTTAGGCTGGCAGATGGATCATGGAGCTGGGCTGAGATCGGCCAGGGTGACATCTAGATCTTTTAAAGATCATGGTGGTTTGACTTCTGGGGATGTAGCATCCTAAGAAGATCGACTTTCAAGGGCCATCTTTGACTGCGGCCAGCTCACCTTGGTGAAAAGGGTTTGCTCTGAGGGATTTGATCTTCGATTTGCAGCTGTTCGATTTGATCTTGTGAGATTCAGTTTGAACTTCATTTGATCTACACTTGAACTTCCTGATGTCTTGTTCAAGTTTCTTGTTGAGTCAAGGGAATGCACGTGTGTGATCTTGAAGAGTTGAAGTTTTGTGCATTGCTATGTCTGAACTTGCCAGGACGAAAAGGGATGAGGTCAGGGGTTCAGGGAGAGTGGGATCAAGGAGAGATCAAGGGTTGAGCACTGTGAGAATCAGGGATGTCATTGGCATTTGCACAATGGACTTTGCACAACAGTAGCAGAGGGCAGTAACTAGAAGGGTTGATTAGTTTCCTTTGCTTGCTGTGGACTTTGGGACTGTGACGCCGAGTCGATTGGTTACAGTTGAGAGGAAATGGAAAAGGGTTTGGAGTTCAAGATGTGCTTCATGAACTGTGAGTTCAAAAGTAACAGAGGGTTGTAGCTAAAAGGGTTGGCTAGCTTCCTCTTCACTTGCTGTGTGAAGCTTTTGGGCACGTTGAGTGTGACAGGTTTTGTTTTCAGGAACCTTCGTTTGCTTGACCTGTCAGGTGACCACTTGAGACCTTGTGAGGTTTCAGGGTCCCAGTGATGACAGAAGCAGAGGCGAAGAGCTGGCCCAGTGCAGCTCTATGAAGCCCTCCTGTCTGAGAGACCTTGAATCTTTGTTGTTTTGCTTGCTTGGTCGAAGCATGGTTGATTGGTTGATCTCGATTTGAACTTGCTTGAAGCTCGTTGTTCTTGATTCGTTGACGTTTGATCGACCTGGAGACCAGTTTAGACCACAGGAGTTGAGATCTTAGTTGATGCTCGAACCCTAGTTGCTCAGAGAAAACGAATTGAAGAGAAGAAGTGGGTAGCACGCCTGTACAGTGTGTGGATCACCTAGTACCTCTGTGTAGTGGAACTTTTTCGTTTTCTGTCCTTGGGGTTGGAGCTGAGTAGGGATCTTCCTCCTTGGAGTGTGTTTGCTTTGACCACCTTAGCAGGACTAAGTGGAATGTGACCAGAAGTGGCTAGGAGCATGTCTAGAGAAGCCCTAAGTATAGAGTTGTAGTGCTTGAGATGAGCTGTGTATAGCCTAGCTTTGCTTGAGAGTGTTTGGAGATGCTTTCTTGTACTTTTAGTATGTTTTGGACGACTGTGACCAGTCAGACCTCTTCAGAGAAGAGAAGGACGAACAGACATACAGTCAAACCGACTGTTATGTTTGGCTCAAGAGCGGGATTCAGAAAAGGGTCGCACTCGCTTCCGTGTTTTCACACATGTCTCACCTGTTTTCGAGTAGTTCACGGGGCCCTGCATGGATCGGCCGCATCATATCTGGCCGCGTTTGAAAGATCTTGTCAGGTTTCCAAATGCGACATTTTTGCAGCACACTTCAGAAGAAGATGCCTTTCCCCCACTTCGTTTGCCTTCGCGCAGCATATCTTGCTCTGCTCTCGGTGATGAGCCGTGTCGGTAGTAGAGTTCAGGATCTGCTGCCTTTGTGCCTCCCCCTCGTGGCGAGGAATGGGAGGAGCAACTCCCCTCGCCTCTTTTTGAAAGCTCGCCAGTGGCATTACACTGTCTTCGCTATTGGTATGTTGGACATCCCGAGAATGGGGACTGTGGTCTTCCCAGTTTGTCACTTCTTTGCGTGCATGAGGCACGATGCTGCCGGCTGTCAAGCAGGTTACCTGACTAAATACAAGTCCAAGATAGAATCTCGTGGGCCATGCATGTACGGGCACTGTGAGGTCGGTCATAGGTCTCCTTCGTGCTCTTATGCTGAGCCTGTCTGTGAAAGACCTTGGCAACCAAACCAGCTGCTGAATGTTGACACCCACTTCCGTGGGCAGCAGCTCATGCATTGATGTGCCTGTTCTGGCTCATCCTCTTGCCAGTTCGTCGATGGACAAGAACTTCTGAGGGCTTTGCTGAATTCACTGCCCCTGTTTCACTCTTTTCATGCCTACCTGGCACCTCGAGTTACTCTACAGGTTGCTCCCTTTCCGTTTTGTGTGGTTTTTGTTTGGGTTTGGTTTTGTGGGGGTTTGTTCGGTTTTCTTTCTTTCCCTGTTCGGTTGCAACCTGGCTGGTAACTCTCTTTTCACTCGACTAAGGTGACTTGTGCACAACCTGCACACACAGCGCCTCCACTCGTGCAAAAAAAATCCCTCAGCAGAGGGAGGAGACGCACCTCTGGAAAAGATGAGGCTAATCCGGGTGCTGCCCAGTGCAGGTGCAGCACAGCGCCCCACGGGCGGACCCAGCAGGGTAGTTTCTGGCATCGCGGCCACACCACACACAGGGGGAAGCGCGACTGATACGGCCTCTCAGGGGGAGCCAAAGGTCAGCATCTTCTCCTAGCGCCCACCGGAGGACAGCAAAGCGAGGGACGGCCCCCACATGCGATACTGGTGTTTGCGCCAGCCACTCTAAAAACTCAAAGAAGGGCCCATAATTCCATCCATCGCGAGATATTCTGGAGGAGAGATGTAGCACCGATGCCTCAACTTGTCGCGCTATCGCTAGCTGCTTGAATCTAGGCCTGTTTGAGAGCTGAACTCGCAGTAAGTCCTACAGTGTTTGCAGAGACTCGTTCGTCTCTACAAAAGGCAGGGTGTCAGACTTAACCATGGACACTCGTGACCTTGTTTGCACTACATGTATAGCACATGAACGAGCCCAATACCGCAGCGGCTTTCTCAAGCCAGTGGAAGTGAAAAGAGCCGCTTCTACCTTTGACAGTTAATTGAATTCAATCGGAGGAATCAAACGAAGCCTTTGTGCAAGCTCAAGTCGATGATTCAGAACCAATGGCACACTCCGAAAACCAAATATATAGATCACTGAAAGTCTATGTTGCAGAACTTGGGGGTTTTGATCCACAGTCCATTTTTGCCTCTGATGGTTTTTGTCAGTCTGAAGAAACTTAGAGCATGGTTTGAAGATAGTTCCGTTTATTGGGTGACAATACCTGAAAGTGTTGGCACCCAGGAAGTGTTTCTCTCTTTTTTTAGAAACAATATGTTTCAGCTATCCGGAATTTCTGGCAGAAATTGAAGACCGACGAAGTGGGATTTTCTGCCTTTTTGGGCGCTTGAACTTCTCCTAGTTCGGCCATGGAGGGCCGACCGCCGCTGGAGTTTTTGGTGTCAAAGCTGCCTGAGCTGCTGGAACACTTTGGGCTTCAAGGCGGGGCGAGGCGATGCGGGAAGGACAAAGGCGAGGGCAATGCGGGGAGGTTGGAGGTTTGCAACTCGGTGCTTTTCTTTCAAACCAGGATACCACTTGGACACCACCTCGGAGTTCGATCTTCTCGGACGAGTTTGTTGAACTCTAGCCCGAGAAAAAGCAACTCTTTGTCCGGAAGGGACCCAACACATCCCTGGAGCCGAACGCCGAGCCGGTGAACCCGCAATGTCTTGGTGTGGACCACAGGTGTACTGGAGATCACCTGGAGGCCCCCTGTTCTGTCCATCACATGGGGTCCGACGCCCGATGGGGCACGAGGTCGCCTCGCACATACTCTAGGGACCGCTGCCAGTGAATATGGGTGTGGAGCTCAAATAGGGAGACCGACCCCCCCAGCAACGACCCCGTGGAAGGTTCGGAAAATAGACCAGAAACCATCCAAAACCCACTGGTCTGTTCTTTCTTGGTGGTGTGGTGTGACCCCCTCAATGAGGATGTGTCAAACATTTGCCCAACACAAGCTGAAGATAAACTCGTTTGAACAGCGTCAATGTTGTTCAAACCAATTGAACCATCTTTCGTGTTTGCCTTCTGGATTCGGAGATTCGGGCGTGGCTTGGGGAGCGGGCAGGCGAGTTTAGATGGAAGGAGTTGGATTCTTTTGCTCCTTGGGTGCAATTGGATGGATGGGTAAATGGGATCGCGAAGTGGATCAGAATCAAAATTCCGGCCTCACCCGAATCTCCCTTCTTCAGCCAGGGAAGAGGGATGACGGTTCACATCCACTTCACCACATTCGCAGTCTGGGCTCCGGAAGGACTTTTCGGAGTAGTTTGTGGATGCTGGAAAGTCGCAAAGGCTTGGTGGTTTCGCTTTGAACAAAACAAATGTGAGCCGCAGGTCTTTGCACTCGACCCGACGTCTCCCCCTCTTCCCGCCAGCTCATCGCACCCCATTGGCATTGACCAAATGCCTCTTTGTGGTGGGTTGCATGGGATCCAACTCTTCTTGATTGACCGTTTGCCTTCTTGGTTGAACGTCGAAGCTGGTTGTGTCAGTCCTTCTTCGTTCGGTCGATCCCAGGATGATCGAAACCTCATGGTGACGTTCGAGGACGACTCGTGATACGCGCTGTTTGCTGACCGTCGTTCCATCGTTTGGATTGATTGATTGATTTAAGAAACCACTGGAGGGTGGTTGAGCAGTCCTCCAAAGCTTCTTGGACGGTCTTTCGATGCTTCTTGAGCTAACCATCGCTTTGGCATTTGCTCGTGACGCAGACGAAGTTGACGGAATTGTTAGGCATCACGAGCACCGCTTTCATTACCACTCCAATTTGATCAGATGACCTGCCAAAATGTCCTGAACCAATCCAAATTCTTGCTTCGAAGCATCATCCGTTTGTTCTTGGCTTTCCGCCTGCCCATGTCACAGAGCAGGATGGGCGGAAATATGTGGTCAAGGCGCACAACACTTTGCTGCCGAGTGGATCGCTGGAACGACTGGACGCCCAGGATCGTTTGATGTGCCAACTCCACAGCCAGGCCTGGCGTCTCTTCCCTTCTTCGACCGGACTGGGAGGACTGGGAGGACTGGCTTGTCTCGGAGAGAGTCTGGTTTTTGGAACTTTTGGGGTGACGAAACCCCACTAGGTCAACCCCTGGGTCAACTGGATCAACTGTGTTTTGCGAAGGGTTCTTTTCAACTTGGGTCAAAGTCGATGAGACAGCCCAAGGTTGGCGCCAGAGAAATTCTTGCTTTCAACAAAGAATTGTGAACTCAAATTCTTTGAACCTTTGTGGACTTGACAGGATCCATGTGCTTTTTTGGAATCGAACCGCCGGTCGAACCGGGCAGCGTCAGGGGCTTCCAGTTCCGGAAGTGCTCTACCGAGATGGATGCTCCACCTACACGTTGCCCTCACCGGTGCCTGCCTTGGTGCGCATCTTGACCTATCTGGAAGGTGATTTGATCAAGACACTTGGAAGCCTCAAGTGGCCATTCAAGTGGCCACTTCCGATGGCCTGGCCCCTTTAGTCACTTTAGTCCCCAGACCTTGAATCATCAAATCAAGCAAACATGGCTTCAGGCAGTTGGATTGGTCCGCCTCTTCGCCCAAACGCATAGGTTCATCTCCTCTTTTTGGGGAGATGTCCTCACTTCCGCCCATCCGACCGACCGCCTCTTCTCTGTTTTGGGTCTCCCCACACCCTTGCCTCCCCTCCGACGGCCCGGAACGTCACCTCGCCACCGAGGAACGAGGCGCCCAAGAGCCCCGCGCTGCTGCGGAGGATCGGCGCGCTCTGCGGCTCGGTGGCCGTGGCCTTGGAGAGCTTCGATGCCAAAGGCGTCGGCGCCGGGGATGGACTTTCCGACGGATCCCTCACCGGTTGACCCCGGAAGATCCTTGCGCCCGCAAGAGCACCCAAGATCCTTTCTTTGCAGCCGACCTGGGCAGGTTTTCAATGGACCTGGGCTTGGGACATGAAGCGCTTGCCAGAAGTGGTGAGGAGCTGAAAGCAGCCTGTGACGTGTTTCCACCGGCATTGATGTGGCTCTCAGATTGTCGTCAAGCTCCAACTTTGGGGTGTTTGATCTCAGCAGTCATGTGTACCGTGGAGGACAAAGTTCAGGAAAGCGGCGCGGCTGGCCTAGCCGCATTTTGCATTCGAATACAGATAATGCAACATGAGCTAACCACGAAGGTCCTGGAAACACCCAGTTGAAAGGCAAGAGGATCCTCCCCGAAATGCGCATTTGTTCGGAAAGAATCCAACAGACGTGAGCTGAGGCGCATGCCATGTGTATGCCGCTGGAACGCTTCAAAGTTGTGCCACCCCCGAGCAGGCCACCAACATAGACCAAACTTCTGCGTATTGCGCTTCGGAGCTTGCACCTCTCACCTACACCTCACCAGGAGCAAGCTGCCCTTCATTTCTGCTGACCGCCGCCCGCTGGCGGAGCGGCTTTGCCACGCCTACGCCGAGCGCCTCTGCACAGAGCGCCCCGAGCACGGAGGGCGGCTGTGCGACGTGCTGCCGCATACAGTGCTGCATGCCGATCTCAACGACTCTTTGCCGAGTTGGAATGGAAGGGGTGGATGGTGTGGCAGGGTGCCGGAGAGGTGATGATTTGATCCGTATCTGGAATCAGGGTTAATCCTATCATTCCTGTATCTCCGATCCAGCCAACCACTCGAACAAATATGTATGAAACTACATGGCCGTTCTCCGGTGTGAACTGTCCATGACAGTGTCCTGCCAGATCTGGACTGGTGGACCATCCAGTCATCCAGTCAGCGTCGGTCATCCGTGGGCGACCCTCGCCCCAGAGCCCCAGGATACAAACCTGCTCTTCGCTGACGACGAAGTGGCCCTTTGGTTGATTCGTGGATTTCGATGGGCAGGAACCCTTAGCCGAATGGTGCCCACAAACGGGCTCCAAAGTTCTTGCCAGCTCAAGACTCAGCCGTGGGGGCACTTTTAGGACGCCGTGGGTCAGTGAAAGCTTTGGTGCCAAGGCCAAGCTACTTATGTAAGTGAGGAGGCAGGGCCACGGGCTAAGAAAGAAGGAAAAGCAAAAAGACAGCCTCTAAAGAATGATGCTCATCATTTAGGGAATTGACCCAAATGAGATGTGATGAGAGATATCCTACGAACAGAACGCAGGCTGCGGAGTTGGTAGACATTCGCAATTTCAACAAATCCCGGCAGACCGAAGCACTCTCAGCTTGCTCTTCCCCTCGATCACCCCACACATCACTCCTCTCCCCCGCGCCACACAGGTCCTCGGCGCCTTTGCGCGTGGTGTTTTCTTTTCGCTTCCTTTGCGTCGGCTTCCGCCGCGTCACTGCCCGAGCTGTGGGGCCTTCTAAATTGGATACGTTCTCTTTTCGCCTCCTTTTCGCGTTTCGCCTCCTTTTCGCCGCTTTTGGTCGCGTCGCCGAAGCCGTCGGCTCCCGTCGTCGCGTCCGAGGTGGGCGTGATCGACTTTGGAGATTCGATCCACAGCTGTCGCATCTTCGAGCCGGGCATCACCGCAGGACGGGCGGACGGCGGAGATGGGTGCACGGCACGGCTGTTCGTGCGGCTTTTGCGGAAGGAGATGGGCAGGTGCAAAGATATCAATTGGTATGTGGGTTGCTGATGGGTGTTGTGGAGTGAAGTATGGGATTTCTTGGACTTGAACATGTCGTTGCTTGACTACAGGTGTGTTGTGTGCTCTTAGTGATCGTCAAGGACTCTGTTTGGGTTCATCACAGTCCTGTTTGAATGACAAGCTTTTGGCATATTCGATTATGATTAGACCTTGCTGAAGGGACCGCTCAAGGATGTGAGAACATCTACCAGCTACCAGAACCGATTGAGATTGATAGATTGGGACAAGAAAGCTAACATGAAGCCGAGTATTTCACTTTCCATATAAGCTTGGTTGTAGAAGCGGAAACAGGATCCTGCAGAAACTGGCCCAGCAAGTCCTCGTAAAAAACCACCTGTTCTCTTTTTTGAGAGAGTCTTCGTTGTTTCCACATGGTTTACATGTAGCGGTTGTGGGCTTCGCAACACCCTGAGCAAGCTAAAGCGGTTATGGACATTCCCACCGTGACATGAGCCTTGAAGTAGGAGGTCCCGGAGTTTCTGCCCAGCGAACGCTGCCAGGATACTTCAGCCTGGGCCAGGCCCGCATCGTTTGGCGAAGAAATAGGAAGATAGCAAGCTGACGAGAAGAACGCTCCAAACAACATGAAACAACATCTACTACTGAAAGACATGAAACAAGAACAAGAACAAGAACAACCACGACAACCACAACGACTACAACCACAACCACAACCACAACCACAACCACAACCACAACAACAACAACAACAACAACAACAACAACAAGGTACAAACAAAAACTGCAACCCCGTTACACCACATCTTCTTTCTTTTTCTCTACAAGGGGGTAGAAACAAATTCTGCAACCCCGTCGTTGTTTTTTGACACCCCCCCAAAACAACCAGACAACAAGCACTTTACTGCTACTACTACTAGTGGTACTAGTGCTACTACTAGTGGTAGACACCCCCCACCCCGGGACGTGTGGACAGTGCGCGGGGCGTGTGCGGAGGCGGAGGGGGTGGAAACCCGGTTCTCAATCTATGCACTGAAAATCAATCTTTTCTTGGAGACTCCTGGAAGTTTTTGGATTCCAATGGAACAATACGGTCGATTTAAACGCCTTCTTAGGGTCTATGAAACTCCTCTGAGGGTCATGCTACTGGTGATGCTTATTGTAACTGGTTAAGTAAACCCTGTAAAACTTCTACTTAGAACCTCTACCACATCCTAGAAACAAAAACTGCAACCCCGTGGTTGTTTTTTGGCCCCCCCCCCCCCCAAACAACACAACAAAAAAACAAGAAGCACCAACCAAGCCTTGAGTACCACAACAACAAGAAGTCCAGCTACTAACATCTCTCCAAACCTTCGACCCTATCCCTAACAGAATCCCATTGAAATCCCTGACTTGCAACATGTGACAACTATGTTGGGCGGCTGTTTTTGTCTCTACCAACAACAACAACTCCAACTCCAACTCCAACTCCAACTCCTACTGATGCTGATGCTGATGCTGATGCTGATGCTGCTACTGATACTGCTACTCCTACTGCTCCTGCTGCTGCTGCTGCTGCTGATGCTGATGCTGATGCTGATGCTGCAAAGATACTGCTACTCCTACTGCTACTGCTGCTGCTACTAACGCTGTGTGAAGGAACGACCAAGATCCTGTGGCCTACCACTTTCAACACGGTCACTGTGACAGCCGCAGCCACAGGCGGATCCTGTTCTGGTGCTCTCTGAGGTCCTTCGAGGCCAGAGCAGATAATGCGGCAGAATTCCTGGGCCGCGGCGAGGTTTGTATTTTTTGGGACGCGGTTCTTTGGAGCACTTGGTGGTTGGGTTTAACAAGAAGCTAATAGTAACAAGTGCCACGCTAGTAGTAACAAGTGCCTTACTAGTAGTAACAAGAAGCTTTGGGAGAAGAGTTGTCAGGGTGGCTTTGTGCTGAACTCGCAACTTCGACTTGGGAGGGTCTGCAGTGGCCTGGGAGCACATTAGATTGGCCATCATGGGAAGAAAGACCAATGGGGTGGGTCACAACCTGTGGAAAACAACATGCATGCTTGGTTGTCTATTCTGACCGGGGTGCTCAGCTGGATCTCCACCTGAAGGCTGCGACACGTCATGAGCATTTGCTCGCGTCTTTTCCCGGTCCTTCGTCGGCCTCAGCGCCGGGGCACGGCATCTGGGGCAGGATACCTGCAGCGGGTGCCTTGGGAGATCTCGGAGGATGAAGTCCTTGCGTGCCCTGGGCCCTTTTAAGTGATCGGATCGAAGCCGGGGATGGCCCGGTTGGTGTGTTCAGCATGCGTTTTGGGGGTCGGGGTGAAGGATTGTGACTCTGAGTCCTTTGCTCGGTTTTGCTCCAGCGAGATGTAGAAGGACTCGCGATCCGCCCAGGGACGTCAGATGGGTGCCTTTTCAAAAGGTTTGACAGTCCATGATGGAACTTCACCGCCAGTTGGATACGAGTCTCCAAGTCATGTTCCATGTGCTGAGGACTCCAAAGTCCTGTTTATGTCCTTCAGGAGTGCACTGTACACTCATCAGGGTATTTACTGTCCCTCTTCCGGTTCTTTTTGCCTTTGGGCCAGGGATGTTGTGCCGTCTTTCATCCAATGAACGGTCTTCCAAGGTATTTCCATGTGGCGCGAGGCCGCATCTTGCTGTCGGTGGCGTTTGCGGCTGAAAATCGCCACCTGGAGCTGCTTGGAACTGAAGGCGTCGCGGGGCGGATCTGCTGTGGAGGAGAAGCGTTTCGCTGATGGCCTGAAGTCATTGGAAGCGTGGATCCGTCGCGTTTTTTTGGGGGTTGGGGTCTCGTCTCAGCGCAGGGAACGGTGAGAGCATTTGTTGAACCATGACGAACCATGACGCCCAACCCTGCAGGTTGTTGGTTGAACTGACCTATTGACCTATTGGAGATCCAAATGGGTGACATCTCATGAATGTGAAGGAGCACCTTGTCTTGGAAAGTAAATGAACCTTCAAGATTTTCTGTTCAAAATTCTATGGACATCTCAAGCAGGATCACCAGGAAACCATGGGGAGGAATTGAAAAGGCACCATCATCCTCTCGAGCCTTTTGCCTGGACTTTGAAAAGCAAGCCTGGTAACATGAGTGTTCGCTGATCTTCTGGCCGAGTTCACCCATGTTCGCTGCATCCGAGGCCGGACAATGAATATCTGGCACACACCGCAGAACCCGGCCGGAAAGCCCGGGGCGTGGTTTGTGGGGGTCTTCGAATTGGACGTGCGTGCAAGAGCGCGTCTTCACCTTATCTTTCA